TATATATTTTTTTATAAAATGAAGACGTATTTTATTTTTATTTTATTAAATTAATGACACATTTATATATTTAATTCTATATTTATTTAATGAATTACACATTTGATTAATTGTTTATCGCTGTATTTATTTATTTAATTGTGGCACTTTATATTAGTGACGTGGTTTTAATTAATGAATGACACATTTATTAATTTAATTAATTATTGACACATTTAATTATTTATTTAATGCTGTATTTATTTATTTAATTTCGGCACTTTTTATCCTCCATAGGAAACACGTAAAATAAAACTTAAAAAAAGACACACTAGCATAGTTTTACAGCCATTTCTAAGGCTGTCAGTCATATAGGTTTATACAGAACTACAGTCTTTTGTCAAGATCTGTAGGCGGACTCAAGCTGTGTGTTGAAAGCGTGTTGAGTCAGATGGAAAGTCCTACTTTTCCATCAACACCTGCAAGCACAGCTGGAGAAATGCTTTAAGGGACAAACGCTGGGCTATTTTAGGACATAGAACCCAGAAACTGTTTGGTGGGGTCAGTTTGAGCCTTTAAACAGTTGGGACAGTTTTCCAACAATGGACATCCTGCTGATAGCATCCTGCTCCAAATTGGATTTAATGCTCCTTTATTCTGCTGCATTACACCAAGTGGAAGAAACAATAAAAGGAGGAAGTTCTCTAAAATTGTCTACTTGACATAACTGGTTGTTACTTCAGCTCGACAGCCTTTGACCTGATTCTTTAGATGACGTAATCCGGGATGATTAAAGCTCTTACTTTGGTCCAGACATTCAGCCAGGTGTTTGAGGCTTTTAAAGTGAAATGATTTTAAACTTTATGAGCCTAACCAACTTCCCATTAGGCGTAAACCTACCTATTGTTATAGAGGGGCAGCACCGCCCAGCTCAAACTTTCTGAGATTTTCCCTCGCTTTGTGCCTTTAAGGTGAAATGTCAGCATGCACTCATACGGTAACTCATTAACTCGAACAGGAAACACCATTCTGAAATATAAAAAAAAAACAACGAGACATATTTTGTTATCTTTTAAAAATTAAGCCTTTCATTTGAATATCTTTTAAGCAACATGGACAGATTGTATTTAGAGTAGAAAACATATTTCTGCCCTTACAGGCGGTTACAACTGATGTTGTTTCCATGTGACAAGGCTGTGCTGATGTTTTCTGAAACGCCGGTCTCACAGATTTTTGTTTCTCCGTACGTCAAGTCACAGGATACGGAAAAACTTTCATAGCTATAATTGTGGAAAAAAGGGAGAGAAATAAAAAAAGTCAGTTTCTGTTCTGCAGGAATGAAGAAGAAAGAGTTTGAGTTTGCTCATACTTCATCCAGCTCGGGTTCAGCTTGTAGAGAGATACTATGCTGAACTGCAGGATTTCCTCGTTGTCATCAACGTCACGGGTTTCGGGTCTGCCAATGAGACTCTGGGATCTGAAGTCTGACTGGAAGTTGTCAAAATATATTTGGAGCACTTTGAGTAGCGCCCCATTCAGCATGATCATGGCTGCAAAACAGAAACAGAATAAATGAAGAAGTGGTACGTATGTTAATATTTTACATCATTGTTGTCGGAAAATGTTTATCTCTCTTCTATTACCGTATTTTCACGACTATAAGGCGCATATAAACATGTTTTTTTTCCCTCAAAATGTCTGCAGGATGGTGTTTGTAGACCAGACATAGCTTCTTCCCATAACAAACTGGATTCTTTCTCAAGGTTTATTCATAGCATTTTACTGTTGACCAAAGTGTCTGTAATTTGTTTTGAATTTGACTACTTTTGCAGTGTTCTAGTAAGGGGGAACGAACGCTGTCCAGATTAGAACAGTGTGCCATTAGGGCTTCATGATGACTGTTCTCTCTTTGCAAAGATATGAATAAATGTGCCGACTGAGTGAAATCCCTCTATCTCCATTAATTTAACTAGGATGAATAGTTGAATACTTTTTTCCCACGACAATCATAAATGTGGTAGCCTGACGTAGTCCGACTCAATTCTAGTCAGAATGAGTCTGATTCTGCTCCATTGAGCTGTGATTATGGGGCGTGTTTTGAACGAACCAGGAAAAAAATGCCTCTGCACTCAATTGGATAGACCTACAACCAATAAGAGCAACGGAGTGCGTG